AAGCCGAGCACTTGGTGCTCCTTTGTTGTCGGCGTTGTTGCTTGCTATATAGCCTCTAGTGCGTTAGTGCGTATCACATACTCATACCTATCAGTCAGTGTGTTTTCGCGTGATGACCCTTGTTGCAGCTGTGAACCACTGATTTGTACTTAAGTACATTGTTCGCGCAAGAGTGAAAAGTTTTTACCAGTCTTCAGATTTCATAGTTAAAAGGTTGGTGTACAACGTTTCGGGATGAGTCATGCTGGTGCGTGAAAAAAAAAAAAAAAAAAAAAGTCGACTTGTTGCTGCTGTTAGCTAAAAAATCTTGGTTTTTTTTTTTCGCACGACCGTGAAACGTCAGTTTCTAGGTAAATAATTCATGAGTCTCGCGTGTATTGCGAGTGCATTTGGTCAGTTTTATTTTATTTTTTTAAAACGCTTTCGACGCGCCATCAGGAATGGTAACTCTGGGAAAAAGAGCGAGTGGAATTTTCCACGTTGGTGAAAGTGCATAGACCCGCGTGGTACGAGGTTATTTAAATTTGAAGAAGCTCAATTACCATGTCTCCAAAACGGAAAAAGTAGCTGAAACTGTAGAAAAAAAAACTATTATCACTCAATGTCTAATGTTTTCCATGTGTTAGTATATATAGTGTGATCAAAATTCCTTACCATTCGGTACTCGAATCGGTATAATGATATAAGGATAAAAGCATTTCAAAGTTAGTTCTCACAATTACCAGCTCGAATTTCATAAAACATTAACTATCTTTCGGAACCTTCGTAAAGCGACTATTAACTTAATTGGATATTTAACTAATCTTTTTCACGAAACACGCGATACTTATTTTTCAAAGCTACTGCGCCCGCATGTTGTTGCTTGTAAAAAAAAAGTTATTCGTGCTTCTCCTCGCAGTGAGCGTCATCAATTAACCCTATTTTAACTCAATTCGTCGTATATTATGTCATCGCTGCGACAGGCAAGTTCAATTGAGCGCGAAAAATGTTGTCGGCACAAGTATACATTAGCATAATATCTATCGGCTAAATGAAAGTGAAAGAAAGCAAAGTTTCTGACGCGCGTTGTTTTTATTTTTCCCCGCACTTGCGTCACTTGAACATACGATTTTGATGTCTCCTAATCTAAAGCGCATATTTGTGATTCAAAAAATAATATTGGAACAACATACATAGCGTTGGGCGCCACCCAATTTTTTGTTCTTTAAGTAAGGTCCTTTTAATCGTATATGCGCGCTTATTCACGCGCAAACACACGTTGCGTTTGGACAAGCAATCCTATACCGTCAGCTAATTGCAACGTTTGCCTGCCAATAAAATATAAAAATCACTTCCGCGCTACAGCGAGATTACGTGCGTAGATAAGTTTTGCAAAGATTTATCGTTTTTATTGTTTTTATTATCTTCTCGTCACTCGAATTGCTCGGCTCGTGTGTTTTCGAATGATATATAACGTTTCTCGGGCCTGTGCGACGCAACACTCTAATAAAGATTACATCGAGAGAGGGTGCATTATTCGCGCGATTGCACCTGTGTTCGACAATTTAATTGCGTGATTCGAATGACGCTACTATGGCTACGGCAACGGTATATAGGACTATCACACGTGTCTACAAAAGCCCGTGCACCTGCGTGCCTATTTATCTTTGAAATAAAAAGCAATTATGCTATCGACTCACTTTTTTTTTTTTTTTCATCATCCGCTTGTCTAAACGATCTCTCAAAACGTGCGTGGCAACTACAAGAGAAAAATAAAACGCAAAATTATAGTCGAAAAGCGTTTACCTATTTTTCGGAATAACAAAAGCCAATCTGCCAAGAAAGTCGGTGCGTCGTCGTTTTTTTTTTAATTTCGCAAGCGAATCGCATACATTACAGGAATGAAAAAAAAAAAAAANTCTACGTATATGTATGTAGGTGGGTGTGCGTTGCACCGTTGTTTGTTTTTCCGTTCACCTCCTGTGTACACACACGCACATCGGTATGTTTTTGTGACAAAGTTTTTCACGAGATGAGATTGCGCGCATAGCTTCTTTTATTATTACGTGAGCAGGTATATATTTTTTTTTTTTATATTTCAAAAGTATAGTTGATACGAGGAAAAGTTGTGTGTCGAGGAATGAACGCATCCGTATATATATACACTTGTAGACAAAATTACTTGAACATCTGTGGAGGGCGTGATAATTATGTATTCGTTGCATCGCGCTATTTTCGTCCGTAATTTATAAGCTCGCTCTATAAGTATGATTTTCACGTACCAACGTTTTTGGCTCCCACTTTTATCAAATTCCGCGATGTTTGAGGGGAGGGGAAAAAAAAGAAAATGTGTTCCCATTAGGGATGGTTGACGAAAAAAGAAGAGTGTATAGAGTTAATTGACCAGCCAACCGGTCCGAGTCGACTTCGTAATTAAATTCGGACGGTTCGTATGTTAATTGCCGAGAGTCTGCGCATCTGGTGAATACCTTCGGTGATTCCATTGTTATTTCGGATCGGCGAAGCCCGAGCATCCTCGGCAGAGGCCTCACTCTCGCGTTAACTTTGGATTATTTCGGTAGTTTTTGGCATCGCACCCCTCTTGTGCGTATATAGCTTTGCCCCCACCGCGTGTATCCCAAAAACTTTTAGCGGAATAATTGCTCCGCGCACCGTGACTTTCGACCGCGTTGTTTTTTCTTTCACGAGACGCCATCAGTGCTCGTGGTGTATAATTAAACAAATTTTCCAAAAAAAAAAAAAAAAAAAAAAAAAAAAAAAAACAGAGAGAAAGCCAAGTCGTTGTAGTGTCTCACGTGCATCACCTGCAGCGAAACTAAAACCAAATCGGCGCTTTGGTTCGCTCATGACGTGTGCTTGTAAGCGCTTATATCTCCTTTTCACGTTTTTCGCGGCTAGCTATTATCCTCGACCTAATATTACGTGTCACGGAGGAAAAAAAAAAATTGCATTTAAAATAACTCGCGTATACGTGGTACGATGTGGGTACATCCCAATTTCGTTTCATCTCATTATACGCGAGCTTGTGCACACACACGTGGGGGGAGAGAGGGACACCTACAAGGGCAAGGATGTGTAAAATGGAAAAGCTGCCGTGGTTGTTTGCACATGACTCCACAGATCTATCCATCCTCTGCAGGGATAGAGAGAGAGAGAGAGAGAGAGAGTCGTCCATATCATACAACGTGGACTCGACTCGTTCCCTCTCTTTGATGTAATTTCGTTTGAGTTTGCCTATACACGTATGTGCGAGGTTGTGCGAATATTGGCGGTGCGGATAAAACCGAGAGATCACTGCGGTCGGACTGGAAACACGTTCGTGGCCTCCTCTGCGTGACTTTGAAGCGGCGGCTTCCCTCCTCGATTGCTGAACTGATTGCTGTTGACCGGCGTTCCTGCGAGGGCTGTGTGTGAACGAGAGAACACAAAAATTTTTCCGCCATAATTTAACGAGGGTGAAAGTATAAATGCGACTAAAAGCCCCACCCCCTTTTTTTTAAGTACTGTACTAAATATGGGTATACTTTTTGCATTTGGAACGATGCTAATTTTAATTTTTCTTTAGCTTTAATAGTACTCGATGCTTCGTCAAAATTTTTTTTGAACTATACGATACTTTTACGTGCTTTCAAGCTTTTATAGACTTCGAGCCCTAATATATCAAACACATTATAGATACGGTATAACATTGACTTTCTTTTTTTTTTTGGAGTGTTTAGTCCAAAAATTTGAGCTCTGGATACTTGATTGTGCACACAGTATTGACAGATGCACACATGGCGTCAATGTAGGTACGAGTTCGTAGCTGTTACCCAAGTGTGTTCAAAAACAAGTGTAACGTAAAGGTAGCATTAAAAATGTCCTTCCTTACGGACCCTAAAATCACACATACCACACGGAGCTTCTCACGCGCAGCTATTAAATTTGATAGAAAACCGCCAACAGCTCGATAATTACCTCCTATAATACTTTCTACTTACACACACTCACCCCCAACCCCGTGGACCATTTAGTCGGTAAAAACCGCCGAGCCCAAATAATCTTGCGGTCTCGATTGCAGCGCAAGCTCGCCTGCGCCGTGAAGGTAAGGAAGAAAAAAAAAAAGGAATAGTCGCGCGCGAGGAGGTACCAACGCGAGGAATCGTTCGTAAATCGAGGGATTTAGCCCCCCGTGCTCTACGTCGGCCAAAAAAGGTGTCCCGGCGCGAAGCCTCCCCTAACGATCTTAACGGTACCTGCCGCGGCGTACCACTACCACCTCTCGTTTTTTCGTAAATTACCAAAGTACCTACCTGCTCTCTTTTTCTCCGTGGCAAAGTAAGTAGTTTACGCTTGAATAAATATCATCCGACAGGAGCACCACCTCGTAACTTGGAATACCGGTCCACTGCTGCTGAACAGGTTGCTCAGGGGGAGCTTGATTTTCGAGTTGATTTTACCATCGCCCCGATTTCTCGATAAGCGGGTTTTTTCCCCGAAACTCAGAATGTGGAGCAATAAGTAAAATCCTTACTTTTTCACATCTCCAAAAGTGAAGAGAGAGAGAGAGAGAGAGGAAGAAAAAGCTCTGGTTCCTATTTGAAGCGTGTGAGCATAAGTACCGCTCGCGAGCAAGTTCTTCGGAGCACAAAATCACACGCGGGGCAACTGGTGAGAGGAGGAGACGGAACGGGATGATGTTACTATTAAGTATTATGTATAGCAGCCATCGCGTCATCGCGTTCGCGGCTCGACTACGGCCAAGTTTTTGCGTGTGCCTACTCGCATGTGTATAAATATATATATGGCTCGACAACGGCTATACCGATACCTAATAATATTATACCCCACGTGTATGTATAAAAATATATATATATATGTACGTACGGTTGATGGTATACATATATATACACCTGACGATCTACGCGTATAATTTTCCAAGCTGTTGCTGCCAGAGGCGGTTTGGTACCGAGATCTCTCTCCGGTGTTCTGGTCTTTTAGTAGATGCCGCGCGAGCGCGAGAAGCGTCCCCGAGCTTCGCACGCGCGATTATTCTCTTCGCTCGACCGTCGCCCATCACTTTTAACGCGTTTTTTAACAATAGATGCGCATGTTTATCACTTTGTGCGGGTATTTTTTTTGTTTTTGTTTTTGTTTTTTTTTTTTAATGCGAATAAAAAGGGGGTGTTTTGTTATTCAACAGTGCGTACTTGGGTACACCATCTAATTGCTTGACGAGAGCGATATATTGGTTTGGACGATCTTATGTAAACGCGCTATATATATATATATATATACACAATTTAATTCCGTTAGCCGAGAGATAAATCGAATATTATTTTTGCGCTCAAAGTTTTTGGTATATCTACGTATATGTATGTAGGTGGGTGTGCGTTGCACCGTTGTTTGTTTTTCCGTTCACCTCCTGTGTACACACACGCACATCGGTATGTTTTTGTGACAAAGTTTTTCACGAGATGAGATTGCGCGCATAGCTTCTTTTATTATTACGTGAGCAGGTATATATTTTTTTTTTTTATATTTCAAAAGTATAGTTGATACGAGGAAAAGTTGTGTGTCGAGGAATGAACGCATCCGTATATATATACACTTGTAGACAAAATTACTTGAACATCTGTGGAGGGCGTGATAATTATGTATTCGTTGCATCGCGCTATTTTCGTCCGTAATTTATAAGCTCGCTCTATAAGTATGATTTTCACGTACCAACGTTTTTGGCTCCCACTTTTATCAAATTCCGCGATGTTTGAGGGGAGGGGAAAAAAAAGAAAATGTGTTCCCATTAGGGATGGTTGACGAAAAAAGAAGAGTGTATAGAGTTAATTGACCAGCCAACCGGTCCGAGTCGACTTCGTAATTAAATTCGGACGGTTCGTATGTTAATTGCCGAGAGTCTGCGCATCTGGTGAATACCTTCGGTGATTCCATTGTTATTTCGGATCGGCGAAGCCCGAGCATCCTCGGCAGAGGCCTCACTCTCGCGTTAACTTTGGATTATTTCGGTAGTTTTTGGCATCGCACCCCTCTTGTGCGTATATAGCTTTGCCCCCACCGCGTGTATCCCAAAAACTTTTAGCGGAATAATTGCTCCGCGCACCGTGACTTTCGACCGCGTTGTTTTTTCTTTCACGAGACGCCATCAGTGCTCGTGGTGTATAATTAAACAAATTTTCCAAAAAAAAAAAAAAAAAAAAAAAAAAAAAAAAAAAAAAAAAAAA